ATTCGATCTCACGGTAAGGTCGACTGGCCAAGTCTACAGTTTGCGCTTAAGCGCCAGTTCGCATCGCAATGCACCGACTTCGAAATCCTGAGAGATTTGACGGAGCGGAAACAAAGACCAGGTGAAGCTATCGACGAATACTTCCATGTGGTAGGTACACTGCGCTCGCGTCTCAGGAACCCGATCCCTGAGTACGAAATAATAAGATTAGTAAAGGGTAACTTACGCGGATCTCTTGCCAAAATAGTCTACCCAATTTCCGCATACTCACTCGAACAGCTAAAGCTAGAATGCAAAGAAGTGGAACTTTGTTTTCCGCGCCGAGAACTCATGCTGTCTAGTGGCTTCGGACAACGCGCACAACAGGCTAACGAGATTAGCTCCATCGAAGATGATGAGGGTCAAGTCACCGTGGAGGAAATACGCCATCAACGCTCAGCTAAGCCGCCAGCTGGCCGTAGACATTTTTCGTGCTGGAATTGTGGCGCCGAAGGCCACGTTTTCACCGAATGCTACAACGTCGAATTTTTTGTTTTAAATGCGGAAAGTCGGACGTGATAACACCTAAGTATTCATCTTGCAATCCAGCGGGAAACGCAGTGCGGAACGCTATTACGACGGGGGAATCGCGCTCCACACAGACCCCGCACGAGTAGATGCCTCAACGAATACAGAACCAGACGGGGAGTTGGGTCGTGATGCAAACTCATCTGAAACCAAAACGGAAAGTAACATTTTTGAAATAATAACAACAAAGAGAAACAAAGTAGTCACAAAAAATGGAAGTATGCCACCTTACGAGGAAAGACTGAGGAAATATCTCGAAACATGCCAACGAATTTTCGCCGATAGTGCGCTAATGGGGCGCCGAGTAGTGTCGCGAAGAATACAAAAGGCCCGTGAGAGATTCCGGCAGCGGAAAACACTGCGGCAAAAAGTTGTAGCGTCGGTTAGACATGCCGATCAACAGGATCCGCGCGTTTACGCGGACATAGAGATAAAGGGGTTATCGACACGAGGCCTGTTAGACACTGGGGCGTCCGTAAGCATTCTGGGCCAAGGCTGCCGCGAGTTCGTGGAAGAGATATGCGCACCGATTGAAAAGTACTTTTCGTGTGTAAAAACTGCGGGCGGTCGCACGCACAATATACTAGGCAAGCTTACCATACCTGTGAAATACAAAAACGTAGAGCAAAACATTACATTTATTTTATGCCCATACCTAGAGCAAAAGATTTGCCTTGTCGTGTACTTCTGGCGCGCCTTCCGTATGTCCCCAGAAGTGATATCCGTGAGTGAAATCAATTTGACCAAGTTAGAGCAAGAGATGGTGTCCGAAGAAGACAGGAATGAGCGGCGCGTGTTGCATGTCCTTACGGTGGATAAAAACAACGCTTGAAGCAGGTGGTGAGTGCTTTCAAAACCTATGAAAAGCACGGATTAGGACGAACTCAGCTGGAAAAGCACAACATCAAGTTGGTTGACGATGCAGTCCCCATTAAAGACAGGCACTATCCATTGTCTCCAGCGATGCAAGCAAT